AGAGGAGAATGGAGGAGAAGGGATTGCGGCGTGACCATCCCCCCTGGGGGGTGATTTCTCGCTTTCTGTCTCTATGTCTCTCTCTGTCTGTCTGGCAAGCGCACGCGCCCTACAGTGAAAATCTCTCAAAAAAAAAAAAAAAGAATAAAGCACTCAATCTTATTTATTTTTTAGTTTAATTTTTGCTATAGGGAGTGTGTGCCTGTCAGAGGGAGGCTGGGGGAGGGGACATAAGAAATCACCACCACCGCCCTGGGGACGGGTGGCCACACCGCAGGCCTTTCTCTGATGGAGGTGTGAGGACGCACACTGAGTTTTAGAATGCTGAGATCTCTTCGAGGGATTGCAAGGAAGGTTGTGCGAACATTCCTATCTAAACACCAAAGAGAAGTGGAGAAGGGCAGAGTGCCAACATTCTCTGTCTGCTATAGAATTGAAACCCTCTCTGGACGATTCCATTTTATTCTGACAATACGGCACCACTATTTTCCCATCAGACTTAAAATGAAAAGTGCACCCTTTAAAAATGAAATGGATGTCTCCATTACGCATTTGCTTGGGAATGGCTTCTCGACTTTTTGGCTAAGATCACTCGTAGTATCTGTCCTTATAAGTTTAATATCTGATACGTCCTCCCTCCGAGGACAATATAGTAAATGGATTTTTGGAGCAAGGAGATGGAAGAGGAGTATGCTCCGTCCACTCCACACATCGACCTGACACTGCAGTACCATCAGGAATGGTGCACCCTTCAGGGGAATAAAACAAACAAATTTACTTGAAAACATAACATGAGTTTCCTCTTAGTCTTCCGTACAAGCTAGATACCCAATACCAGTGCTGGCTCTGAGAACTGGGAGCCCTCAATTAACCACTCACATAATCTGATGCATCTGCTATAGGGTCTATGGATTGAGTCCATTTGAATTAATTAGTTAATTTTATCATTATTATTCTTTTTAGAGAGAGATTTTTTTGCTATAGAGTATGTGTGCTCGTCAGAGAGACAGAGAGAGGGAAAGTGAGAAATCACTCCCCGGGAGGGATGGCCATGTCACAAGCTCCTCTTCCCCAGGATCCTCTTGGGTTCTAGGGCACACATGCCTATGCACCTGGCATGATTTTCAAGCTGCCAGGTCCAAGATTTGAACTGTGGTCAGCTATGTAGGAGTCCAGCACCTCAACCCTACACCTGCTGGCCTCATGGCAACTTTGTTGTTGTTGTTGTTCATGGAAATATACAGTGCCCATGTGAGTAATTTCAAAGAATATTCTCGATCATTTCAACACTGCCAGCACCATATTGCATAATTCTAGGAAATAGTAGACCAAAAGTAGATTGTGTTCTCTGGAGTCATACAAGGCAATAGTCTTAAATATCAATTTGGCAAATCGACGTCAAGCAAGATCCATCCATTAGGATATTCATATAACCTCTGCTCTGAGAAGACTGATCATCAGACATGTTAAAATAAGGTGGCAAGAGAAGAAGCATGCGTGGACAGGTGTGGAAGAGAGTGAAATTAATTTAGTTTTAAATTCTCTAAAACACTTTCTAACAATAAACGAATTTTTGGGGCACTGAAAGCATAATTAGGTTAAAAATAGGCAATAATCTTTTCTTCTATGAGATTAGTAATGAAGCCACCAGAGAGTTTTCTAGTTAGGAAGGAAGGAGACTTACATCTTCAAAGAAGATGAGAGGTTGAGGAACTGGGCGGTGGCACAATGGTAACGCCATGCTCTCTGAGGCTGCCTCACATGGGAAGGTTGTGTTCAAGACCAGAGACATTCCCAACTAGGCCAGCACTCTTATGCCCCTGATCTGGAGCTGACTGAGGCTGAGAGTGGATTGTGGCATCAAGACCTTATTGACGGTGGCTGTCTCTCTCTTTCTATCTCTGTATCTCACTCATGGAAGAAAGGAAGGAAGAAGGGAGTGCCAGCTACTGGTGCAGTGGTTAATATGCATTTTCCCGGAACTTCTTTTTTAATTGTCCATGGTTTCGAAAACTGGGTTCTCTTTCTCTTCTTATCTTGTTTGGGCTAACTGCCAAGAACCAACGTAGGCTCTTGCTTCAATCAACTTTGCTGTGGCTTTTCAGTTGTGACTTTGTGTGGGGTTTGCAATGACATAGATAAGGAAATAAATCTTTGGAGAAAGAACTAATCATGACTTGTACATAGCAGGTATTTCTGAATGACCCACTAGATGATTTCTTAAAACATTTTGAACATTTCTTAAAACATTAGTACCTCTTGTCATGAGGGTAGAAATTAATCCATACCAAAGCTCCCTGGGGCCTCCAACTTTTAATATTAATTTTATTTTTTAAATAATGCTAGTGAAAAGGAAACAACCTTTCCTCAAACAAGCCTAATTCTATAATATTGCAGGAAAACATTTTATGTCACTGGAAATTTAAAGATAGTGAAATAGTACATGAAAAAAGGTGGAACCGGTACTGGAGTTGCTGCAGGTCTGGCCCTGAGACTGAACTCAGGCTGCGCTGTTGGTTGCTCAGAAGCTAGTACTGAAAAGCCAGGAGGAATTAGAAAGGAAATGTAGCTTTATTCAGGAACCGGTGACCTATGAAGATGGTGAACCCAGGTCAAAGTTCAAAGACCGTCTCCAAAGTCACAGACAAAGATGAGACGGAAGGGAGCTATGGGCCTCTTCTGTGCAGCGGTGAGTCATGTCCTTGGCCACATGGAGACTTGGCACCAAAGTTGCTCTTCACAGTTGTGGTCATCTCACCTTGCGGCCAGTGTGCTCGTTTTCTTAGACACATCTGCTCTCCAGCTGTGCTCCCAAGGCCCAGTTTCTGTGAGATCTCGGCAAAGCTATAATTCAGTCTTATAAATTTAACAGTCAACAGGTCAGTTAACAAGTGGGAAGCCAGCCATCTTGAAGGGCTATTATGCCGCATCTAACACAGAATTACTTTGGTTCTTTCTTGTAGCTTCACTATGAACTACACACATAAGATTCATGAGTCTCTAGGGGAATGGGCTTTGAACTAGAGTTAAGAGACCTAGGTTCTGGGCCCCGTGCTCTTTCCCACTGGTGGCATCATAACCTTTATACCATAACATGCACTTGAATCCATGTCTTGAGAGAATATTGAGTTAACTAAGGAATGTCCAAAGAGCGACTCCTTTCTTGAAATTATATACACACTAGCCCCAACCAAAGAGCACTGAAGGAGAGGCTAGAGGACACGGAAGACTGATATTGCTGAACTCAAGTCGAGGCCATCTCTGTTAACTTCAATTATACTAGAGGGTCCCTCATCCTCTTGTAATCTACATTCTTTGGGGGAAAAAAAAAAGAAGCACTTTAAAAACAAAAATAGCATTGGCAGTGGTTGCTTGTGAATCTAGCACATACGATTTCAGCAAGTAAAAACAGAATTCTCCAGTTAAGTTTCTGCCGTCTTTCTCTTTTCAGGAGTTGCAGGAGGAAGAGATTTCATGGACATCGAAAGTAAATTTGCCCTCAGGACCCCTGAAGACACAGCCGAAGACACATGCCATCTTATTCCTGGGGTTGCAGAGTCTGTAGCTAACTGCCACTTCAACCACAGCAGCAAAACCTTCGTGGTGATCCATGGCTGGACGGTGAGAGGGCTCTGGAGGAACAGTGGATGGGGTTGACCAGGTGTCTGAGTGGGCTTGCCCTGATTGCTGAACCTAATGATGGATCCAAATCTCACACTTCAACCTGTCCTCTGATGGCTTGCTTTACACTTGAGCAAGGGCAGTTCTGGGTTGTGGTATCTGGAGTCACAGATTCATGCATACCCCTAGACTGTGCCGGCCCTCACTGTAACCCAGTATGGTGGTGGTGCCCTTGAGCTGGCCATTTCTGTGAGGCTTTGCTCAACTCCAGAGAATGATGTAGGCTAACGTTGTGGGGACCTGGGGGAGCCTGGAGAGGTTCTGATTCAGCCAGCACGTCTCCAGAGGCCCTTTCCAGAAGGAGACAACCTGCAAGCTGAGGAGAGGCTGAAGTGGAGCGAGTAGGTATGGGTTCTGGAAGTAGCTTTGCCCTTGTCCTGCTCTGTGATGTGAGTCAAGCCACTTCTCTCTGGGCCTCCATAGGGCAGTAAGGGGAACGGGAAGTGATCTGTAAGCAAAGAGGTTAGACCACAGGTGCCCAAGGTCTGTCACTTCTGGCATCTTCCAGTTTTAAGCTTTAGGGAAATTTCTGGAGAGGGAAAAGAAATGACCAGGGCATTGTCATGCTTGAGTGAGGTGGAAAATGTGGTTCAAGTTATGTATTAGAAATATTGGGCCAGCTCAGTGACTTGGTACATAAGGCAGACAAGTCTGACATGGCCATTCTCATAGTTCAGGTCCTAGATCCAGCAGTTTGAGAAACACATGAGACATGTGTGTACGCATGCTCGCAATCCCAACAGGATGGAGAAATGGAGATGAGATTGTGGTGTGACCATTCCACTAGGGAAATGTTTCTCCCTTTCCTTCTCTTTCTTGTTTCCTCTCTCTTGCAAGAGCACAAACCCTTGGGCAAAATTAAAAAAAAATAAAGTAGATCTTTCTAAATATGGCAGATAGTTACTTTACATGATGTAGTTTTTACTTGAATACTTTCCTTCAGTCCCTTGTGAAGAGATCATATTGTTTATCAAGAAGAATTTCTTTAAAATGGATTGTTAGGATAAGTTATCTTCCCTTTTTGTCAATTTGTAAATATTCTAATAGATACTAAACTCTAGCAAGAAGAATTAGCTAAAATGATATATATCTAGTCTGATTTCTTTTCCTGTGTAACTTAAGTGCCCTTGTTATGGACAGTTTAGGGAAATTACTATAATTTTTATAGAGATGAAAACAACTACCGACAGCTCACACAGATGTTTATTTTAATACAACACATCTGTTTCTGGCAGCTAACATAGCACATTACGTATCTTATAATACTGGGTCATTGGGAAAGTCATGACACATTTTTGGATAGAAAAACAGAAAAATATGTCATGACTTTCCTGACGACCTAATATATGTCCAAATTCCAAACATAAATCTTTCTCTCCATATGCTTTTTTCTTTTTTTTTTTTCTTTATAAGAGAGAAAGAGGGAAGAAAGAGAAGGAAAGAAAGTGAGAAAGATGGGTGTTTTATTGACAGGGTTGTGCTGTGTCGTGATCCTTCTGGCCCAGGCTCTGTACTAGCCAGGATTGCTGTCACTTCTGCTAGAAGATGCCAGAAGTGACAGACCTTGGGCACCTGTGGTCTAACCTCTTTGCTTACAGATCACTTCCCGTTCCCCTTACTGCCCTATGGAGGCCCAGAGAGAAGTGGCTTGACTCACATCACAGAGCAGGACAAGGGCAAAGCTACTTCCAGAACCCATACCTACTCGCTCTTAGGCCTGCTCAGGAGGGCCCCTGGGCCTCCCTTGCAGCCTTCACCTTCCCAAGCAGTGACATGACCTGCGTGCCACTGCAGCTGGGCCTCGATTGTTTTACAGTTTGAAAAGTGTAACTAGGAAAAAGGAACCTTTGGTGTTTTTAATAGGCATTTTGGATGCATACAAAACTGGCTTTTTGATACTTTTCAAAAAAGTTTAAGCTTAATAAATACATATATACAACAGGAATAAATTAACCATCCCGAACCAGACCACGTGGTGCAGATGGTTAGGAGGGCTTCTGCCCAGCTGCCTGCAAATGAATAAAGCTTTTTAAAATGAGTAGCAATTGAAGACATCTCAGAGGAAAAATCTAGAAAATAAGACCTTTTCTGAGTTGGGGGGGGCAGGTGGATTTTTGCTCTTTGGTTGGGGATTGTTTACATCAGCATTTTATGCTGTGTGCATTTTACGTTGAGTCAGAAGGGAGAGGAGTGGATTAGTACGTCGAATTACCTGCCTACCTTGGCAATGCCGGGAGTCCAGGGGCCCAGTGCAAACTAGGTTTTCCTGCCCTCTCTGAGCAAGGTCTGCAGGGAGTCAAGGGTATAGACTGAGGGGGTGGGAAGTTTTCCAGCATGGCCGTGACACACCCAGAAGACTTCCTGGCACATGGCAGCATGTGGCAGCACATGACACCCCCTGGGATGCAGTTTTGCCCCAGTGGTCCTGGGCTTTGACTCTGGCTTAGGGGCCACTTGCTCTAAATTCGTGGTTTTCAGTGTGAAGCAGGAGGTCCTCGCTGCTGGCTGAAACAAGATATGATTGACGTGGCATTTTGAAGAAATGGCATCATCCTCTTGCATCTTGAAAGGCATCTACTAGGGGTGGCCAGTATCCCAATGGTGGAGGGAAGGCAAGTGGGGCAGGTTCAATCCCCCAAGGCTTTGCAACTGGCTGTATTCTAGTCAGTTCCCTCCAAGACCCTCTTTGCCCCCAGACCATAAGCAGCCTTTCTGACACATTTCAAAGGTGATTTCAATAACTTCCCAAGAGACCAATATCCCTTTTGCATCTTTTCTTGTTTTCTCTTTGGGCCGAAGAGGGGCACATGATGGCTGCCGGCAGGATGGAAACCCAAGGAGCACAAGTAGAGATCAGGAAGTGGAGGGTGACTTTGCAGACACCTGAATCCAACCGCTTTGCTTTATAGGTGGCCTAGTCAGGTTGAAGGGGAACCTATGAGGTCAGCAGGTGGCATGGTGGTTAAGGTGCTGGATTCTACATAGCCAGCTCTGGTTTAAGTGCCAGACACAAAGGCCTGAAAAACACTCTAGGTCATGTGCGTATGTCCCCCAAATCCTGAGAAGAGAATGAAGGAGAAGGTATTGCAGCATGGCCATCCTCCCTGGGGGTGCTTCCTCACTTTCCTTCTCTTTCTGTGCTCTCCGGCAAGCACATGTACCTTGTAGCAAAATATCTAAATTGAGTATTGGGTCGTTGGGGAAGTCATGACACAATTTTGCATAGAAAAACAGAGAAGTACGACATGACTTTCCAGACAGCTTAATAAGTTAAATGCAGGGCCTGTGTTTATGAGATAAATAGGAATAGTTAGTGGTTTGAATAATAACAGGAGCTGGGACTGGATTGAAGACCTCCTTGATCTCTGGCTTGCTTTTTTTCCACCATAAGCTCAGCAACTGTGAAAAACTGTGCAGTTTGTTTAGTGTCAAAACAAGCTAGACTCGTGTTTTGATCATTTTAGTCCAGTAAATAAACCCCAAAAAAGCATAAAACTGAAAGAACTCACCAAGTAAAAATAAAGTTCTAAATAAAGTCCTTGGTTTGAGAAGCCAAAACTCCTAATTTTCTATTGGAGTTGGGCTAAGAATAATCTTGTTTTGACACGTCTACCCTGAAAAGCTGCCTTAAACATGAATTTCTGACTCTTTGTGTATTTAGTACTTAATCGAGTAACCTTTACTGTGTCTACAATATGACTTGCTCTTGGGTCATTCCCCCCGCATCAAATGCTACATTTAAATGATTCTTTATTTAAAACTAAGTGTAATCTTATGCCCCAAAACAATTCTGTTCAGGAACATTATTAACCTAATTGAAAGCAGTTAAATGAAACTTTTTAAAAAATAGTCTGTAATTCTGCTGTAGAATTCTAATTCATTTAGTCCAACCAAGCAAGCTCAGTGGTGACCCAGCCCTCTGTAAAGCTGGCGGCCATATGGATGACGGGGTTCGATTCCCCGATCTACTTGTACATACCGGACACAGGCACCTAGGCCCACATTCTGACTGGCTGAAAGGCTGGGGTGGGGGACTTCAGTGTGAGACCCTGACCCTGTTGAGGTTGTTGGTCTTTGTCTCTCTACCTCTATCTCTCTCTATCTTGGTCTCTCTATCTCTCATAAAAACTTTTTAAATTAAAAACAATATTCAGACTGATTTTTCCAGTTAATAATATTGTAACTTATTGAAGTTTTAGTGAATTTATGAAAGTTGCTTTTGAAGTTGGATGCGTGGTAAAGCTCAATTTGCCATTCCTGAACTCAACACACCGCTTCCTGGGCACTCTCTGATTTGCCTGGAAAGGACCAGCACAAGTCTCTGAATGCTCTTTTGGGGTTTGATTTTTCTGTCTGAGCTAATGGGTTTCCTTGCAAGCATTTCATTTCCACTGAATGTCGGTGTGGTGGGCTGACGAGTCTGTAACTAGTCGTAGGTGGCTAATTTGGAGCTGGATAAGTAAAGTTGTAGGTGGCCAAGTCGAAGGTGAGTATAGTAAGAAAGCATGTGTCGTCTTCTTCAGGTGACCGGGATGTACGAGAGTTGGGTGCCGAAGCTGGTGGCCGCCCTGTACAAGCGGGAGCCTGACTCTAACGTGGTGGTGGTGGACTGGCTGTCGCGGGCCCAGCAGCATTACCCAGTGTCTGCCGGCTACACCAAGCTCGTGGGGAAGGACGTGGCCAGGTTCATCAACTGGATGGAGGTGAGGCTGGGGGAGGTAACGTGGGGGGAGAGCTGTCTTCTGCAGCCAAATCCAAGCTCTTGGCTAGCAGTAGACAAATGGCTAGACTTTTCTCCTTTCCACTTGACACAGATATTTTCTAGAGCAATTCCAATCTTCCAGATGAGCATGGGAATTATTTTTTAGCCCAAAGCTGCATTGTCTTAAGAATGATGACTGTATAGCCAACAAATAGTCCTGCCCGGCTCTATCCTTTAATATCTGCCTTGTGAACAGATCTGCTGAGAGCAAGAATGACGTGGGCGGGAGTCACAGAAGCTTGTTATTTCAAAACAGAAGGAAGATGGCGGGCTCAGACACATTCCTCCCCTCCAGTCGCCCGGTCCATGGAGGTTTTGTTCTGGCTTTGCCTTTTGTTGCAAAACCAATGTTTTCAATGAAGATATCAATAGTATTTATTTCCCAGTGTGAATTAAGGGCCAGGGATTTTTGTTAATGAGAGGGAGCATGGAATTGAGCTGGAGATGGTGGCAGGGGAGGAGTCCTGACTCACCTTCTGGTTTACCCTCTTAGAGGATGGCCTGCTCTTTTAAACCATCCTCCAAAAATTACCTCTGGAAAGTATCTTGGGGTTGGAGGAAGCTAATACTCTGACAAAGCTAAGTTATTTAAGCCAGACACTTGGAAATTTAAAAATGAGCTGGGTTTATTGGACTGGCCATCAAAAGACAGATTCTGTCCTTGGTGCTTTGGCTAAAACGGCTGAGTGAGCTTAGGCAGATTGGAGGCCTCAGGCCTTGCACCTATTAAATGGGAGGCTGAGCCATGAGTGCCTCTGATCTTTCCCAGCATAATTATTAGGTGGTCGGAAATGCCATGACACATCTTTGCATTAAAAAAAAAAAAAAAAAAAAAAAAAAAAAGTAATGCTTTTCCTGATGACCCAAT